TATCTTACAAATACTTGGAGCACATCGGAAAACCGGAGCATATTGTAGCCGTAGAACGTTGACAGAATCCTCAGCGATTTGAACAAATTTATCCGCCGAAATTAATGGGGGAACACCACGTTTCATATTCCGGAGGCTGATCACATGTCTGTGCAGAAGCAATTTGTTAACACAAAACTTTTACACTAGACTCCACTGGTGTACTATTTTGTCCACGCGCACAAGTGTGGTACAGTGATTACGATGCACAACATAGAAACTCCAGCTGTCAGGGCTAGGGTTCCTTCCATACAGATGCCACAGTGAGTCTCTTACTGTCACGTGTCTTCGGGTTCTACTCCGAAGGAATAATTTTGCCCTTACAGAACGAAAGAGGTTAATGACTGATGCAGATTTAATCAGATCACTGAACTTGCCAGTAAAATCCAGCAAAACATTGTCAATGGAACAGTCGTCCGGAAACTCCCAGCTGGCATCTCCCACAAGTTCTGCCGGTATGTTGTAGTGAGTCATGGTTCGAAACAATTTAGTATGTTCTTGTGGATACTCCGCAGAACACACGAAGTCGTAAATAATGCTTATGTGGTCACTTCGCCCCAGAGGGCTCTCAAGCCTTCGTTTCTCAACCATGAGCTCTTCGTTCGTGAACACTAAATCAAGCACAGATGGTTTAGCCCCGTCTCTGAATCAGGTGGGTGAACTGACATGGCTGAAGAGCGGAATGCTTGCAATATACTCTTACAGATCGGTCTTAAACTGCTCGTTGGGGAGATACCGGAACTTCCAAATCATGAAGATTGAAGTCATCTGAGATGAGAACATGACTGTATCCTCCTCGTAGGACCCTTCCCATGGATAATGCCAGGCGGGAGTACATCCCTCGGGTGGACATTGGGGGACGGTAAACAACAACCAAACGGCAAGTGTCGTTACGTCTCAGTCTCAGACTGCACCAGAATGAGTCTATGATCAGCGTTTCCGGATCGGCAACCAGTTCGCACTACAGGTCGTTGCGGTAGCAAAATATTACCCCTCCCCCGCCTTTGCTAGGCCGGTCGTTTCGGAGAACAAACATACCATTTATCGGGACTTCGGCATCGGTAATCTCTGAATGCAACCAGGTGTCCGTAAGAATATGAGGTCCCAGGCATGTGATGCTTAACATATCCGCAGTTCGGCAAGCTTGTTCAGGAGACCTTGTGCATCGGTGTACACACGAGGAAGCTTTCTCTGTTTAAGCAATGAATCGTTGGATGGGTGTTTTTAATAAAATGTTGTGCCGACCTGTAAAATTCCGGCAAGTAATCGTTTTTTTGGGTGGAGAGGACGAACTCATCCGTGCCCGATTGATGGATCCTACCATTACCTCTTGCTTTTATCTTTGTATATAATGTATGGGTGTGTTTGCCAATTTCGTTGGCTAGTGGATTGAACTTATCTGCACTCCTGTCGGCAGGTGGTCTGACTAAGTGGTTGGTCTTGTGTGTTTGCTTAGCAAATGCTGCTTTGCTCCGGAGCTCGAAAGGAAGGCTGTTGCTGCCCGCATAACATGCCTCCACACCATTGCCGACATTTGTCTAGAGTGAGGGACCACTTTCACAGTTCTTGGACCACATCCCTTGTAGCTTGTCAATTGGCGCAGCCTCAAGATTGATTGCGCATTGAAGTTTTCCAGGGAAAGGGTCTTGCGAATGTACCGCTAATGCTGCTGATCGCGAGTCGCCACTTGGCGCTCATCATGACTTCCAGCCTCGGGAACACCGGGTAAAAGGATGGTCCTGGCTACGAATTCCTTCTGGTTTTTGTCCAAGCAGTGCTTCGCCTGAATGCGCTCGCTACACGGAATATCCGGGAATAGGCCGATGGAACATGACCGATTGCGGAGGCAAGCTGTTGATAACAGGACAGCTTCTGCATCATTAGCAGAAGACAACAAAACTCGGAGAAGTCTTGGTTCACCGTAGTGCTGTGAGTTTGGGTGATGGGTAACGCGTACCAAATTTACGGGCTAAGTTACCACACCTACCGTGTCACATATGGAGTTCCACTGGTTCACATCATTGAATTGTTTTCCTTTAAAGGAATTTGACGTCGATTCTGGAACGTTGGTGCAGATTACCGCTGGTATACTACGTGCTACTCCGGTTGTTGTCAAGCGACCAGCTGATCAGTATGCAGTCAATGGAGGCTGTTTGGGTACAGCTTCGTCTTCTTCTTTTACTATAAGTCTTATGGGAGTGGCCGAAGATCTAAGTTTCCAGTCACCTTTGGCAGCAACCATTTTCCAATCACCACTGGTGTCGAAGCCCTTCTGAATTTTCGGAATCGTTTAGAGGGTGGACGATGCTGTTACCGCACTTATTGCATTCGGACTGGCGGTGGTTGTTTCAGACATATGTGAGCAACTGGTAGTATTAACGTCTAATGCCACCGATGATGCATTTTTAGAGCGCTGCCTAGCTTTCTTCCTCAGTTTTATTGCGGTGCTGGATGAGAATGACCGGGATTTACTCTCTGCCACGCTTTATACAAAGGAATCGCTTTTGTTGCTCCTTATTTGTTCAAACAATGCAACTAGTGTTTCGTACTTCTGTGATAGTTCATGTATAATCTTTACTAGTGGGATGACTATACACACCGAACAGAACCACAGTGAATCTGTGTAGCTTCAAATAGTTCACTGTGTGGTTGACACATTTGCGATGGAACTTGTCTTGGCAGTTGCTACATTCAATACCGGTCCTTACATTTTTATGGCATGAAGGAAGATCAGAAACTACTGTCGATCTGAATGCGGTAACATGGGCTTTTGATTGGTCGCCACGATCTTGCCTCGATGGTAATCCCAGTGAGGCCTGAGCGCTTATAGTTTCCTGCCGATCACGTGTGCGCTGAATTGTCTGCATATTCAAGGTTGTCACGTTCTGTGCGTCTGGCCCAAGCGTGGCAGCTTTAAGCGGTTAGATCGTTCCCGCGGCATACAGAGCGACTGAGCAATAGGGACCCAAAGTGTACGATAGCTACTTAGAACATCGGTCCACAGCTGTGGTTGCTGCTTCCTCATCTGAAACGTGTACTCGCCTTTCGTTTGAGAGCACAAATATTTCTGTGTAGTTCGTGATTCGGAAAATTTCTCGATTGTGTTTTTGCGGGAATGGCGCAAAAACCGCGGATCTTTTCCAGTTAAGCCTCGCCAAAAAGTTAAGCCCCGCCACCCAAAAAAGATTATGAAAACGGAGGATATGGAATTTGAACTTTTACTCTCTACTGAAGAGGGAGAAATTGAGACAAGTCATTAATAATTTGCATGAAAAGGTCCATTTTTCGGTGTCTTTGCCTCCAAACGAACTTACACAGGTAGCTGTCCACTAAAGATCGGTGTGTGCCGCATTGGCGCTTATTCTGCATCTTGTAAATGTGCCAGAGGGATTCGATGGTTTGTGTGTGAGCTCCAGTCATTGGATCCACAAAGTTTTCGGTATGGTTAACCGTTTGATGAGTATAGCTCATGCCAATCATCGATTCAATGCCTTGGTATGATGCCCACATATCGGAAATGATAATTGAGCCGGGAGCGATGCAGGCCTGGATTGTGTCCAGCAGAGTGGCCGCAGTTCGATCTCACACTGGATACAAGAACACTTCTTTTAGTCTCCCGGCAAATCCCTCCGAAAATCCACTGCTGGGGTAGGTCTCGCCCTGCATGGTTTTTACGACGTGATATTAGGGTTTCATCGATCTCGACATGTAGACCTGGGCCGCCGACAATCGTTGGAGTCTGCAAAAGCTGCCAGGCGCAAATTTCACGCAGAATGTTCTTCCAGTCGACAGCGGTCGCGTGGCCAATAGATAACTCCTCTGAGCAGAATTTGATTGTTGTCAGATTTTTAGACCAGCAATAAATGAATAGGATTATTGTCCTGAAATCCATCCTAGACAGCTCCAGCCAAGTTCCCTTTCGAAGACCGATTTCTTGCCGACACTGTCGGGCATCACACTTCCACCTGTCAGAAACATTTGAAAGTGTCATTTGGTGTCCTCGTCTGCACGAACGTTGATGATGAATCACTCCATGGCTTTGCAATAAACGTATTGATGTTTCCTTGTCATGAACGACCGCCGAAAGCGTCAGAAAGCTCATGTCAGGTTTTATGTGAGAATGTAGAAACTTTTTGGACAAAAATGACTTTAGAAGCGGATAAGGAGTGTTTTTATGGGCCACGTTCACATGCATTACGTACACTGGAGCTGGCAAACAGTGGCGGGGCGCAACTTATCACGCGTGCCCTTTTTGCACTATTGGTGGGGCTTGACTTTTCAGGTGTACCCTTTTTGCCTTAGTGGCGGGGCTTAACTTTTTTGCGCGTGCTCTTTTTGCATTAGTGGCGGGGCTTAATTGGAAAAGATCCAAAACCGAAATGTGGAGATAAAAGATGATCCACACAAGTTAGATCCGAAAGATGGTGTGCACTAGATAGCGCAGATGAAACTGGGGCGAATGAGTGTGAACACAAATTTGTGTGACACAATGCAACTGAGAACGGCAGCAAAACGTGTTCACAGGTTAGCGATTGGAATGCAGCTTCGTTCATGGTCGTTCAAGCACAGGAATGAATGCACATTTAATCCACCACTTATTGATATCAGTGTACTAAGGGAGGCTAGCAGCGCAACGCTATTCACTTCGACAGCGCATTCAGGTTAATGATTTCCCACTGGACTACCAGAAGGTCAGACTTTGAGATTGGGTTCACCATTTAGTGTTTTTCAAGCTAATCAACGATTGATTGTGCTTAAGTTATGGAAGTTGTCGACTGATCCAGGGGAATGAATACTGTTCGCTAGTGTTATTGGGCTCGGTCAAGATAACGTAGGACAATGCCCATGCACATATCGTACTAACAAAACAGTGTGCTAATTGTTGCAGGGGAAAGTACCCCACTATACTAGAACGAGGAAAAATGCTGGCTTTCTGATTTGAGAATATCTGAGGGACAATACTAAACAGTTACCTGTAACATTAATTGGTATTTGAGGATGCGTTGCACTGGTTTCAGCAAATAAGTATCCACCGACAGTTGATGTCCAACAGTGCGCTGGCACTGGGCCAGCTTGCACCATAATTCGGAGCGACTCTTCTTGGCCCCTTCTAGGAGATGGATAGACCTGCGGAAACAGAGTGAGACGATGATTATGGTAGGTAACAGTTAAGTGGAATGCCAGTTGTATTTTTCTAGGTGAATTCCTGACAAACTATAGTCCAAGCAACCACTAAGAAAAATACTGTACCGCCGACGATGTCCACCGAGAGATAATATGGACGCGTACACACCGAGCTGCAGAGTTCAATCAAGTCAACTTAAGTCAAGCATAACCTTTATTCCCCCAAAACGGGCGAGTATTCACCCGGAACGCATGCGGCTTCAGTGTTGTAGAAAAAACTTAATACCTAATAGATGTGCATACAAAAACGTCAATAAGTAGTAGTGACATTAATATACGCCAAGAAAGCCGGACCTTCATCTCGCTCGAGTTGCGTGCAAAACGTCATCGTGATGTCAAATGCGTAGCTGACGCCCCCTAGACCTAGTTGAATTATTACGGGAATTCACTCGGGTCCGCAGAACCATCCAGTTTTGTATGTAACCTGAGTTAAATTAATAGATACAGTGTAAATTTACGAGCAAACTCTTGAATGACACATGTCTTGAAAAACAAAAGTAAACTAGCACCATACTATCGACCATCCCTGAAAGTATGATAACTAGATGTCCTAGTTGAAGCCGCTGGGGTCACTAGATCCATCTTTCTTCATGGAGTCTCTGGCTGGACTCATACGGAGAAATTTACAGGTAGAAGCCGGTGTTAGATGTACCGTTAAGGGGAGTATTAATAAGTGAGACACCAGGGGGTGATGTAGAGGAAACCTCCGTCTAGTGGCTGAAGTACATGCTGTATCCACTTTGTGCCCCCAAGGTGACCGCTGAATGTGTTATGTAGCGATCCCTTAAGTCCAAATTTTAGCGTAAGCAAATTGCACAGTCAACTTCGTTGAATCACGCGATAAGTGAGCACGAATGAGGTTTGGGTCAAGCCGTATGAACCAAATGCTGCTTTTCCGTTGAGTAGAAACGCCCTGTTTGTGATTCCGTTTAAAGTAGAGAAACTTACAACCCAGAATTTAGCCAGTGAAATGAACCATCGATGCAGAGAAAGCGAAATCCCACAAAAATCGGGTTCGTTGGAGGTAATTTAACGAGGTTAAATAGATAATTGCAATTCATGCGATCTTACTTTAATAGATCACTCGTGCGGATGACCCACTTGAGCATTCCACTGTAACCGATTCTATCAACCGTTTTTAACCTTAACAGACAGGTCAGACTCAGTACATCCACGCCTAACGGTGTCAGAATGTTATATTCTGGATGGGAACTTAACTACCAGTTGCTCCGTGACGACAACAGGCCCTGCAAGAAATAGTGAAAATGATTCTTCCATACAGCAACTTAATAGATTTAGCCTTTACGTGGGTTGTCACTTTGCCGCCTGGATAGGATATGCTTCTTTAATGCAGTTAACTAGCAGATATGATAAAAATACGTATATCTACGGCACCTGAATCCGGAAGGTCCATTCTCGCCAGGGCAACAGCTGAATTCTTTAGGGGGGCACAAAACGGTTTGTATCCACACAGTAAATGAAGAGATAGGTCCCTCACGGAGTTTAACGGTGAAAACGATTCATACTAAGTACCGCTGTTAGTTCGTGTGACATTTCTATTTCTAACTTAAGATACTCAAATCACTTAGGATGTTTTTTTCAAATCAAACTTAACGATCTGCAAGCCACGTTGCGTGCATACTTGTTGATGGCGGATTGTGCAAGCAGAATGTGCTAATGTATGTCTTCCTCTTACCCTAGCCGTGAGTTTACTTGGCCATGAATGTCGTTCACTTCGATCTCATGCAGCGACTCAATAGACTCCGTCCCTCCACCAGCCGTCGTGTATCCTGTATATGTCCCTAAACTGACGGGCATCGGAAAGTCGAATACACGATCCATACAGCTGGTGGTCTAAATATTCGATGAGCTTGGCAGTTTGGCTGCAAAGATTTCATCATCACTCGAGGTGACATCGTCAGTGCGTGTTTATGTAGCGGAGCGGCGCTTCGTACCGCGCTGCTCCGCTACAGCTTTTTGCGACTAAGCCAACTGTGGCTCCGACATTATTAGCCTGTTGATTTAGCGAAAAAATTTCCTCACTAAAGTGAATGCTTCACGCAACGACCAAAAAGGAGTGACCGACCACGGGAGCCTACCAATCTGAAGCAGCGATAATGCAAGCGAACGAATTTGGAACAGATAGAGATGGTTATCTCAATTGCGTTTATTGGCTGGAAAAGCACCCACGGAGCTGTTCAACTTGCTGCTGTCAAAGAATGCAATGCAGGAAACATTGTCAATGTATGCAGCCGTGAAGGTGTCATTCTTCGTCGCAACTGTGGAGAGAATAATCGACAGAAACTGAAGCCTGACGTCTTGCAGTCCGTCAAAGAAGTGGTGGTACAATATTCGTAGGATAATTTGGTGCAGGTACAGCTGCGACTAAAAGAGAAAGAGATCCACCTGGAGATAAATACGCTTGCAAACGCCCGCTGAAAGCTAAACAACACGCTGAAAAGGTGCCACAATGAGCTTGAACGAATCAACGGTGCCACAATGATCAGTTGGTTTTGTGCGGTTACAGAACAGGAGACGATCCAATTAAGTTTGTAGGGTGCCATGAGTCTGCTTGAAGAGATCTTGCTTAACAGTCTGGACTGCACATTCGGCGCTTCCATTCAACGCGCGATGGTACGGCGCAGACTTAATGTGCTGTATTCCGTTGTTACACAGGAACTGTTGAGACTTCACTGGTAAATGAGCATCCGTTGTCCATGCATACCGTTTTTGGGATACCGAAAATGGGAGAATATGAAGCGCATTTTTACTGTGAAAGTCGCATGTGAAACTATATGTACTTCTATCCATTTAGAATGAGTAAAAATCAAAAGTAGGCACATCAACCCATTGATTGGGCCAAACTAGTCGGCGTGCACCCTCTGCCAGGGCCTCTCCGACCAACGTCATGGACGTATCGGTCCTGGAGATTTTCGCCTTTGGTATTTCTGGTATTATTCGCAAGTTGTTCAGTAGCCGCTCTATATCCTGATCAATGTTTCGGCCGCCAACGGTAATCAGGTGCCAGTGCCTTGAGCCTGTTCACGCCGGGGTGTGCGTCATGTAGCTCTCTCATCAACTGGGGCCGTAGTTATTTTAGTGTAACTATGCGCGAGCCTCGAAATATAAAGTCGTCGTATAGACTCAACTCATTCCTCCGACAGGCGAATTGTTTCAGTTCGTCTGACATGCTTGCAGACCATCCAGTTATCAAGAGCCGCTTCACCATCGACGACACAGGCTCCCGTTCCGTCAGGCGGCGCACCACGTCACTGCGGATAGGTGACTTTTCAACATGTTGGATCAAATTGAAAAATCCATGGGTTCACTATTCGTTACTTGCAATGCTGCTGCGGGAGGCGACTAAGTGCATCGCAACTGGCATTACTTGGTCCGTTTACACACAGAAGTTTATAGTTATAAGGGCTTAAAAGTAGTGCCCACCTTTGCATTCGAGGTCTCTCTGACCGGTTGGGAGTAATTCATTTCAGCGGGTTGCAGAGTACGAGAAGCAAAATAGATTGGACGAAGATAACCGTCATCCGTCCGATGGCAAAGGACTGTGCCTATGCCGCGTGGGAAAGCATCAAACTATGGAACAATGGAACAATGGTATATGACGGGTAAAAAAGCATACACTTAACGAGTCCCGCAGGTTGGCAATAGAAATACTAACAAATTGGCAAACCACATAAGTGGTTGAAGTAAGGAGTGTCAGTGAGATAAAAGGTAGAAGTATAACAGTTTTAGGGGGATAAAGTGGTACGACGCAAAACTGGCTAAGAAATTGTTATCGTTGGTGATGGTAGCAAATAAAAATGGAGTACTCACCGGTTCGCACAGATTTACGACCGTGAATTTGGGGTATAAATCCAAAGAGGCTGGTCAGCCTAAATATATACAAGCGTTTTCGTTCATAAAACAAAGCGCAGGGCGCTCAGTGCGACGTCCAATCGTTTTTTAAACGTATCTAATGTGGGGGCACAAACTACTGAGTTTGGAAGGGCGTTCCAGGGCCCGCAGACCCGGAGGGAGAAATAGGTTCTCCGACAGTCTAGACGACTGTACTGTTGGCTCAGCTTTAAACTGTTACCGCGAAGGTTAGTGTTCGGGCTGAGCTTCAAGAGGTGGCGGCATACGTGACTGGGATCGCTCAATATCTGGTACACTAGTATGAGGTCTCCACGAAGTCGCCGGTACCGTCCGCTGAACACTCCGAGTATCTCCAGTCGTTCCTGGTAAGGAGTGTGGCGCAAGCCCTTGACGATTTTCGTTGCTCGACGCTGTGGGGTCTCAAGCGCTGCAAGGTCACGTTTTAGCCAGGGTTGCCAGGCCTGGATTGCATATTCGACGTGAGGACGCACGTAGGCATTCAGCATCAAAGAGAAGATGGATGGATCCAAAATTCCGAATGCTCTTCGCAGGAGTCCAACGTGCTGGTTGCCCCTTTTAGAAGCGGAATCTGACTGTTTGGAACACCCGAGGTCTTCCTGTACCAGCACACCCAAGTCGCGTTCCTGAGTGGTGGTCTTCAGATCGTGTGCCCCAAGCTTGTAGACGTGGACTTGTCGATGGCGGATATGAACAACGCGACATTTGTCCACATTAAACGGCAGGGCGTTTCTCACCGACCAATTCCAGGCCTCATTCAAGTCACGCTGTAGGACTTCATGGTCGTCCGATCGTTTTATCGCCCGCCAAACCTTGAGGTCGTCCGCGAAGAGTAAGAATTTCGACGTAATAACTCTTACTAGATCGTTAATGAAAAGCAGGAACAAACGAGGCCCAAGTACCGAACCCTGCGGTACGCCGCATCCCACTCGAATCGGATCGGAAAAGGATGATCGAACTCTAACTTCTAACTGCCGTTCAGAGAGAAAGTTACCGATCCATCCTAACAACGGGTCTCCGATACCGTACTGTTGGAGTTTAATGAGCAGGAT